CCAGCAAAGGCACTTTCCTTGTAAGATGAATTCGATTCTGAAATTCAATCAAATGACTCTTCAAGATCTTCTAGTGAAAATGAAGCAGAATCGGCCAATTCGGATGACAGAGGAGACAATCATGAAGAAAATTATGAAGATAAGGAAGATAGCGAAGATGACGAAGAAATGGAAGAATCAAAAGTTGAAGTTAAAGAAGAAAATGATTCAGATGAGGAAAGAGAAACTGATGAGGATAAAGAAGCTGATGAAGTCATGGCTGATCTGGATGAGGATGATGATAGAGAAGAAGAAAGTGAAAACGACGAAGACAAGGATGATGACAAAGAAGAAAAAGATGAAGAGATGGAAGAAGAGAAAGCTGCCGAAAAAGATGATGAAAGTGACTCTGACGACGACAGGGAAGTCACTCACGCTGTTGATGCAGATGATGTAATCTTTATGATGATGATGAAGATGAAGGCAGAGAAGCTACTGGTGAAGACGAAAGGTAAGAAGAGCAGCCAGAAGAGATACCCATCACACGTATTGAAGTAGAAATTCCAAAGATTCCAACTGACCTCGGAAATGATATTCATTCTGTTGAATTACCCAATTTTTTAAGTGTTGATACTCATCCATATGATCCATTTTGGTATGAAGATGAAATCGATGAAGACGAAAATCTCGAAGAAGAAGGAAGACATCAATTAAAATTGAAAGTTGAATCAACAATAAGATGGAGAACCGTAGTTGACGAGAATGGAGTGTCTCTAAAAGAAAGTAATGCCAGAATAGTAATGGTCAGATGGTAGCATGTCTCTACACCTTGGATCTGAAATTTTTGATATTCATAAACAAAGCTTAATGGCTGGTGATAATAATCATCTTTTCATTCGTCAAGGGACTGGTCTACAAGGGCAAGCCGTTTTCAAAACAAAACTTACTTTCCGACCTCATTCAACTGATAGTTTTACACATCGTAAGATGACCCTTCATTGGCCGAAAGAAGTCATAAAACTCAAAAGATTCGTGATTTACCTAACGTTGGTAAAGATCCTGAAGCCCACAGGTCAGAAATGATCAAGAAGGAAGAAGACAAGTTAAAGGCATTTATTAGACGAGAAAACAAAAATGAGAAGAGTGCGGGAAAAGGCTCCTTTCCGTGGTCCACCAGCATCTTATTTAGAGCCTGATTCATACGATGATGATGATGATGATGCTGGCGGTGTATCTTTATCTGCAATTAAAAAAACGTTGCAAGAAAGGAGGTGCTGGTTATAAGGCTAAAGTCACTGATGATTTAGAAATAGATTACACAAAATTGTTATTGTTGAGTAGTAATAGTTGAAAAATAGTGGAATTGTAGATTGCGAATAAACAAAAGTTCGATGAAAGCGATGATGATAGTTATTGTCAATTGTTCAATTGAATTACAAATGTTGATAAAGTTATTATCAATTATTCAGCACTTTTCACAAAACTCTCGGTGGAACCTCCATTTTGTCACCGAGTCGGGTTCCAGTGTAAATTTATTATGATGATGTGAAAGGGGTCTGAGGATCAATTAGGTTAATTAAAGGAAGTAACTTTTAAGATTGAACTTGATCGTATCCTTTATTAAACTCTATGGTTGCATAGAAAATACAGTTGTGTATCAAATTAAGAATACAATTATTAAACTGAACACCAAGTAAAAAGGAAGATAAATCGTACTAATCAAAACTAAATTTGTTGTTGATCCGAAACTTAAGGATAAAATGATCAAATTTTACCAATTCTTTATATAGTCCCGTTTGGGAGAGCAGAGTTCGTGACCTTAAGTCACCAGATGGTCGTTTGACCTTCTTTCCTTTTTGATAGTCTACTTTATAAATTTACGATCTGGGAAAGTTGGGTCTGACGGACCCTTAAACCTATTTTCAGGCTTTAGTTAGTATGTAAATACCTTATTCATAAGCCAGTTCTTACTAATTTACGAGTTAGGTTAGCAATTTCTTAGAAAGATTACGCTTCTCATGTAGTTCTTTTAATAGCAAAATGAGCTTGATTCGACCTTATTCAAATCTCATTACTTGAATAATTCACTTCTTTAATTCCTTAACTTTACATAAAATAGATCATACTTTAATTCTTATTTTATTTGTTCTGAGAAATCCCGGGTCTGACACACATTTTATTCTTAATTCTTTAGTCTAAAAACAATTTTTAGCCATTCAAACCCAGGGTGGACAGGGTGGAAATATGGAGACGACCCCTCAATTTTAAGTTTGAAAATGAGCCCTGGAAATTGTAATACATTTCTTTTTCTATCCTTTTCTAAAATAACTATCTTCAGCACTAACTTAATATTTGTATTCATGTATTTAATTAGCAATAAAATTAGTAATCCAAATTCAGGGTCTGACATTCATCCCCTCTACGAAAGGTCCAAAGTCCCTTTTGGACGTCTCGAAATTTGTTTTCTTTATAGTCATTAAGTTTAAATGATCATGTCTTTAATTTGCACACAATCATCATCAATTCAGACCAATAATCATCAAAACTTAATTCAAATTTGTCGCTTTTCAACTCAATTTCCACATTAATTTACTTTAGAACAGATGGCGCCATTGCATTTGTTTCCTTTTTCTTTTCTTTTCTTTGTTTCTTAGCATTTTGGTTTACATTTATTCCCGCACTTTTGTAGCATTCAATTTAACGTATTTTACTTACAAGGGAAACACCCGAACCGCTCCGAACAGATTTCAATGATAAGTGTGTCATTTTGAAGAGTTCAAAGATTAACAACAGAGGTCACTCTCTTAAGGGTAGCAAATCAGCGGAACTGGGTTAAATGACCATTTCGTTTCAATACCATCAATAAACAACAAAGTTAAAATTTTTCATTGTATCAAAATGGATTTCAATCCAGCAAATGTTTTAATTCTGTGCAAAACTAAATTGAATCAAGAGTACCCAAATCTACAACCAACTCAACCTACAATCGAGGAAAAGTTATTTGCTAATGCAATATACTCTCAAATTATAGCTAAATCTCAACAAAGGCTTATTGTGGAAGAAGAGCTGTGTTTGGACTACAATGATGATGCTGATAGTGATGATGATTGCTCATACGATCAGCCTACCTCGATATCATCTTCTCAGCCTGAGCCAATGGAAGTTGTTTCATCATCGTCTTCCCAAGAAACTGCAAGTGATGAGCCATCCAGTGAGGAACAATATGAAGCACCTTCTACATCATCAGCTGCGGATACGAGAGTAAGTGCATCAACTATACAAAAAATAGTTGATCACACACAACAACATAGTTGGGGGCAAGCGGCTAAGCGGTACAGAAAATCGAAAAGTTTTATACAAGATATAGTTGAATCGCAAAGAAAAGGAGGATCTAAACAAGCGAAATTGGAAAAAATTAGAGATCACTGCCAGTTAATGTTCGCGGAAAGCCGCCGTAATGGCAATATTATTCATTACTGGAATTTACAAGAATGGGCTAGAGTCAAAGCAAGTGAAGTTGGATTACAGGACTTTAAAGCTTCAGCAAATTTTTTGCATAAGTTTAAAAAAGCCAACAACATTGTTAGCCGGAAAGTGACCAAATTTGTTACAAGAAGGGAAATAGCTGGTGAAGCTGAAATATTGGAAACGGCAAAAGCTTTTGTCAATGAGATCAACCAATTTACTGATGATGAAAGTATACCAGATGAATATGTCTTCAATACTGGCCAAACGAAGATTGAATATGAATTGACCGGTAATCGCACTTTATCCATAAGAGGAGAAAAGGAAACATTGGCTCGAGTGCAAAACCTGTCATCAACAACTCATTCGTATACTGTTCAGCTGTGTATAAGTAAAGCGGGAATATTAGGTCATCGAATCTATATTTGTCTACAGGAACCACAAGGACAATTTGGCCCGCAAGTTCGTAGGAAAGTTGAAGAGGCAATGGCGCAGTTTCCAGCTGTTCATGTTGACGCAAGCAAGAGTGGGAAGATGGAGCGGAAAAATCTCATAAGTTTTGCTAAAAATGTGTTATTTCATGACCTTGAAGAAAATAATCTATTATTACAAGACTCCTTCACCGGTCAATCTGATCACACAATTTTCACTGAAAATATTGGAGATAAAGATTTGACCATCAAGAAGATTCCTCCTAAAACAACAAAATACATTCAACCACTCGACGTTTATTTCTTCCGTCAGTACAAGGTTTTAATGCGAAGAATTACTGATTATACTCGAAGTTCTCTTGCTATTGAACAAGCCGAGGAAAAATTACGTGATCGTGGATTCATCATCAAAATGAATGCATTGGTTCATAATCAGTTATCTGCACCTGCTTACAAACCGATGCTTATCTATGCCTGGCAAAAATCCGGATACAAAGTCACTCAGGAAATAAGCGAGTTTAAAAGCGTATTGGAAGTCAATTTCGCAAATTTTGATGACCCTTGTGTCATTGAGCAATGTGGTAGACATTGTTTCATAGTTTGTGCACATTGTGACGAGCCCTTTTGCTTTAATCATTTCGTTTTGTCTCCTCATTACCATAGCTAATAGGCAAAATCCTCAACTTCATTCGGTGTTATTTTCTCTCCCTCTAATTTGCTACCCCCAATGTTTTGCTAAAATTAAAGACTCATAATAGTCAATCGAAATATTACTAAATCATTCATTTTCGATCGGAGCGGTTCGGGTGTTTCCCTTGTTAGCTATTTTTTCCATTTTTCTTACATTATTTTAATTTATTCTTATAATCTTCATTTGACTTATCCCTGTATCATGTCATCATCTAAAAACAACGACGACCATACATATTCCTGTATGCCCTTCTGCCATCCAAACATCATTGAAGAACGAATAGTTTATGAGACTGATCCAAAAACTGGCGAAGTCCAGCGTGCTGGAGTGATTGGGCGAATGGTCCACGGCCCAAAACCAGGAATTTCAAAATTTAATAACTCAAAGAATGGACAAACAAGTGATAGGGACCTGTCAGACCTGATTGCCAGAGCTAAACGTCTTGGAGGAAATTTTTTGACCGTTGCAAAAAATATAAATTACACCCCAACTATGGTTTTTGGAAGGGATTTGCCTTTTCGTATCCTGATTTAAAGTGTGCCTTTTGTACTGAGCCTTTTGTAGTGAAATTTCGGGAAGTGAAACGCTAGCAAAATCTCTCACAACATTTGGCACGCGTACACCCTAAGAAATTATCGAATGGGGATGCCTTACAACCAACAGATTTTGAAAAGTGGAAAAATGCACAACAAAAACAATGATTTTCTTTGCTTTTAATAAAGGATTTTGCTTTTTGATTTATTGTTTCCATTCTTTTGACAGTTTTGGATTGTAAATTGTCATTAAATAGTTAGTAATGTAATGTTCATGATTCAAATTAACTGTTCTGACCTAAATTGATATGCAATTGGGTTTTTATGTGATTTGAATCATGGTCAGACCGAGTTTTGTTAAAAAGTATCAATTCTGATCCTGATCTCGATATTTATTCAGATACAAGTCCGATGTTCGATTTTTACATGCAACCGATTATCGAGCAAGTTAAATTTCTTTGTTTCTTCACTTAAACGTTAATTATCAATGTTAATTGATTTATATTAATTTATAAATTCATAATAAATGTATGTTAACATAATAGGATAGTTATTGAATATACTAATTTATCCTTTCGGTGTGAATTAGTATTAATGCTTATTTTAACTTGCGTTTTTGTTTCTTTTTGTTATTTTTTTTAGCTTTTTAATTTAGTGTGTAATTGATGATAAATAAGGGGTGTTAATTAGGGTCTGATTTGATTAAGCAAACCCCAATCGTGCTGGAGGAGGAAAGGAAGGGATTCTTCCCCGTCTGTCAGTAATTTTTCGCAACTTTACATGGTCAGATTTTCGGTCAGACCACATACATTTGATCAAAATAATTAGACACAAAATTATTAAAATAGATAATGAGGTTAACCAGGTATAATAAACAAAAGAATCTTCAATTCTCATGAAACTCATGTTTCATAACTTGAAGTTCGGGTTTCAAAGAACATACTGAAGTCAAGGATGTCCTTAGTGAACATTACTATATATGTACTCGATCCAAATAAAGGTTAGCAATTAAAAACAATCATCACCTTAATGGTGGGAAATACAATTATCATCACCCAATGGTGGAAAATACAATTATCATCACCTTATAATGGAAAAATACAGTTATCATCACCTTATAGTGGAAAATACATCAGAACTATATTAGGGCATTTATTTACGTTA